AAATCAGTATGTTACCTTTGATTTTGAGTTCTGGTGCCTCAGTTGTAAATTATTGAGGCTAAGAATTGTCCATCCTCTTTCAAAATGCACTTTGGATTCCCCAACCCAATCACAAACATCTCCACAGGATCATCCATCCTGAGTTTGATGCTCTCCACATGGGTCAAGCTACAAGTCCCCAAATTCTTGGCCTCCATTGCTAGTGGCTGGAAGTTCTAGGAGTCATGGTAAGGTACAGCTGGAGAACCCTTGATTAAGAAAAGCTGGTATAGATTCAGTATGTCTCACTATAAAGGCCATGTGCTTTGAACGTAAATGGTTCTGGGTTGAAACTTGGCAACTCTATGTTACAAAGCAGCAGGGAGAATAATGTAAAGTTTCTTGGCAGAGGTTTTACAATAAAAGATACCTGCCACCAGCTGAATTTCCTGACTTTATTTTAGTCTGTCCACTGTGCAGGTATTTAACTCTTCTATCCAGGACCTCTTCCTTCTACCCGGCACTAGCAAAACTAGAAATGAAGGTCTACTCAAAGTCCAGAAATAAAGAACAAACCTAGTTTTGATCTTGAAACAAAAGGGGTAGCTGGGTAATCACATAGATGAGTGTTTTTCAAACTTGGCAACTTTAAGATGCATGCTGGCTGGGGAATTCTGGGAGTTGAAGTCCACACATCTTCAAGTCTCCATCTATGTCTGTGTTTTTCAAACTTGGCAACTTTAAGATGCATGCTGGCTGGGGAATTCTGGGAGTTGAAGTCCACACATCTTCAAGTCTCCATCTATGTCTGTGTTTTTCAAACTTGGCAACTTTAAGATGCATGCTGGCTGGGGAATTCTGGGAGTTGAAGTCCACACATCTTCAAGTCTCCATCTATGTCTGTGTTTTTCAAACTTGGCAACTTTAAGATGCATGCTGGCTGGGGAATTCTGGGAGTTGAAGTCCACACATCTTCAAGTTGCCAAGTTTGAAAAACACAGACATAGATGGAGAAGGTTTTGAGAATCCCCTTTTAACTCAATGATGTTGAATCTCTAGATACAACAATGGGGAGAAAGACAATACAGGAAAATATGGGAATACAACAATTGCACAGAATTCCAAATAAAATTAAGTCTGGCCAAACTTTACTAATAACTTAATTATTACTTAAATAAGATCTTGGATTTCAGCATGTGTTTAGAATTCACTGCAGAGAAAGTAGTTGGTGAAAGGTCACTGGGCCTCCTGCTAGGGTGCTGTTTGGAGGCCTTCCTTGTGGCTTCTTCTTCCTCTTCAACCTGAGCACTATCCTCAGTTTAACAGAAGGTGAAGGATAATTTTTTTAAAAAACCCATTGGGGAAGCTGTTGCTTTGCCTAATCAAGAAAAACATTTCATCTCTGAGTTGTTGGTTTAAGCCAGCAAATTAGAAAGCTGTGTAGCAACCCTCTGGTTGAATGATGAAGGTGTGGTCTACTTTTCACCAGCCATTCACTGTATAAAAAAGATGACAGAAGAGATCCTTTTGGAAAAAAGGGAAATTATTTCCATCTATTCAGGTCTATCAGCATGGGATTGATTTACTAGATGTTCCAGATGGCCCTGTTGTGCCAACCAAAAATTAGGGGATTGTTATACTCCAGGTCAAGGGATTTGTGATGGAGGGTCAAGTTAAGCCTTTATCTGGCACATCCCAAAGAACTGTTGCTAGAGTCAGTTAAAATCACTGTGCCAAACAGCCCAATAGCAGGAGCGGAAACTCCAGTCATAGTCCACTTTTATGGACCCCGTAGACCAAGGAGCGATGTGCTGAAGGTGGAGTGTTTTTGTTTTATTTTTGAACTATGTCAAACGTATTCTTTTAGAGTCTGCACTACCATTTTGCTCTGCACCCCACACCGTCAGGAAACTGTGTTGCAGATTTTTAGGAATTATGAATACATTGCAGATTCCATGCATGTCTCTGCCATCTTCAGTTGCTCAGAGATTAAACCATGTTCCCTCCTGGTAGTACACCAGATTACAGAGGTGTTCGTGAGGGAGGGGTCCAAAAAGTCGAGATGCCAGCCACAACTATGCAGTCAAAGCCCCACCCCTTTTTATGGACTTCAGTTGCATGGTTGTGGCCAATGTCTTGACTTTTTGGACACCCCTGCGGACCCTCTTGCCAGGTTATGTACTCTGACTCCACCTCGCTCTCACTGCAATGCCAAAAATGATGGAGGGAACCTTGTAGCAATGAGTGAAGAAGAATGCCTGGCCATAACCCCTTTTGAAACACACTTGCCCTTCAGCCAGGATGCCTGCTGTAGGAATTCCAGATTGCCCACAATTGTCAGGTGGGTAAACTGTCTGGGTTTAAATCTGATGCATAGGATGACAAAGGGGAAAAATTAAAATGAAAGCAAACTTTTGCTTTCCTCCCTCCCTCCCTCCCTGGCTTTGCTTGCATCACTCTGGCTTCATATCCCCTGGTAATATACACTGACATTAATTTCTGTCGATTTAGCAGCAAAGGGATTGTTAATTTATTCATGGTTTGAGAGGATCTGAAACAAGGAAGGGGGTCGCTCTCCAGGATGAATGAGCAAGGGGAAAACACTTCTCGTGCGACATGGAGTGCTCCTTATTATTTGTTTCGCCCAAAGTAATGAATGCCTTGTCCTGATTAACAGCTTTGACCTATTTATAGCTGTACTGTTCCATGTCGCTATTGTGCCTCTTGGATATTCTGAACTGCACATAATATTTTCAAACCCATCTACTGTCGTATTTGTCTAGCAGACATCATTATTGCTTGCCAGCCACTGAAATCAAGGCCAAGGAGAGATTTTGAAAGCAGCACTTTGCAGAGATTATGGAAACTGATCTTTTGTGTCTGCAATTCAACTTGGATTGGGGGGGGGTGCCCTCCACCACCTTAATTTACCACAGTGTATCAAGGGAACGTCATTCCAATTATTCCTCCAGTGAAGGTTATTAACTGATCAAAATTAAGTAAATGTTTACAAAGTCTCCTTTTTCTTTCTTTCTTTTTATTTAACCAGCATTGGGGTGGGGAGGAATGCCTTTGGAAGCGAGTGATAAAATCATGTATTATATCTTAATCATCTAGTTGGCAAACGGGTCCAGTCTTCTGGAGCTAAAGTGGATTCATTATAGCCGTCCTCTGCTCTCACACGCCCAGTTTCTTGGAGAAGCTGCCAAACATTAATTCCCAGGCTAAAGCCATTTAATTTTGTTTGTTTAGTTTGAAGCAAAATTATCCTTCTGCCAAAGTTGTAGGGAGAATGTACTTGTAATTTGCACAGGAGAGGACTGGGCAAATTGCTTGGTCCAATACATTGCATTCAGAGCCAAGGGATTAGTCAGATGTTGGAAGGACCAGTGGTTGGTTCATATGGTTAAGATAGTCACAACCTTTCTCAAGCAAAGACTTGGCCTTGACTTTTGAGTGGTGGATCACTCAAGAAGGGGACTGAGGGTTGGCCAAAGCCTACCTTTGACTAATTTGAATTTATTAAATTAATGCGGTACAGACAAAAGTGCCCATTGTCATTCATTTCTTTTCCCTTCAATCACATGAAAAATGACCATTTGAGAGGAACCTTCAGAGACCACCCCAACATTTGGGGGGATGCAATGTTATGCACCCCTGGTTGAAGCTAACGGAAGGCTTTTGAGTAGGTGAAGGGGACTGAGTTGAAAGAGTGACATTCGTAGGCAAAAATATAACCAGAAGTATGAAAATAAAACAAGTAAGTGGGTATCATGATTCTCCAAGTCTTCGTACCAACTCCAAGCAGGTTCTTTTAATCTCCAGTATCATTGTCCCCATCTCTCCATGCCAAACCATCCAATCACTTTGCATACCCTGGGGAGATTTAAAAACAACTCAGGTCTGAGAGGCAGCAGTGAAAGCAGAAGATCCATAACCGTGGTTTGGGGAATTGTGGTCAATATCAGCCCTTATTGTTATTTTCACCCAATCCTGAGATTTGGAAAAGATACTGTCTTGTTTTTAGCATAAATTAACAGTAAGTGCTGGGAAGAGCAAAATGTGGTGCCAGGGTAAGACTTGTGTTGCTTGGAAGCATCCTCCTTTCGCAGAAAGAATCTGGGCCTTAGAGAGTGATTCTAGTTTCACAAAAGGAAAGTAAAAAGTATTGGGAGAAAGGAGCACCTATAATTTACCAGGCTGACGTGAAGGAAAGAATGTGGTCAAAGAAATGAACAAAGCCATGACCTATTAGGGCCGATGACTTACCCTATTCTCCTTACTGTTCATTTTTTACCAAGATGGGTAATTTAAGAGTTTCAGATAACTGGCTTGATAATCTTGTAATTGTAATCGTTGTTACCTTCCATTGATTACAACGGAATTTTAGGCTCTGAACTTAACAGAGCTAGTCTCATAGAGCCATCCTTTACAGCCAGGGATTTCTGCAGGATATGGTCAAAAAGTTCAAGATGGCCACAGAACGGTGCAATTGTAGCTTCAGACGCCATGCATAAAAAACTCATGAAGCTTCATTTGCAGTGTCACGACTGCTATTTTAACTTAAACATGCTCCTTGCATGCTTCATGCAGAGGTACTACATGGATTTCAGATGATGCCCTGGTAGACTTCTAATATTCAGTAAGAACAAAGTTTCATTCTTGTCTCCTACTGATAAAAAGTATTGCTACAATATCCATTTTGGGAAAATATGAGAATCAAATTACAACCTTCCTGTTATTATACACCCAATAAATGTTTGATTAATGGTCAATGTCTTGATTTATCTATAGGCAATATAGACATTTTACTGTTCCTTCCTTCAACCGTAAATGTTTATATAACTTTTCTATTTCAGAATAACACTATGGATCTGAAATGGACATGTTGTAATAACTATGTTAGTCTTTAAGATGCCATATTTTTTTGTCATTTTTGTGGCAGTGGGCAGTCACAGCTAATTTTTGGAAAATTGTATTTTTTTTTAATACCAGCTAAAGATTACTTTTGTTCCTTTCAGCTCCAGGGATCCTTGAGGAGAAAACTGGTGGTAAATCTGACACCAGCCAATAACAAGAGATCAAATGGGATTGCTGACAACACTTTTCTGGATATTAAAAGAATCCGAGGTGGTGATAATCTTTCCATGGGGCGTAGTCAGTGTGGTAATAGTTGCCCAAACCAGTCAGTATTGGGATCATTCTCAGTTGGTCAAGGTGCTCCAAGGAAAATGGACAGCTCAACAAACAACAGTCATTCTAGTGCAAATGGGATGTTTAACATGGCTCTAAAGGAGGTCAAAAAAGAACCTGGGGAGACAATCTCTTGTAGTAAACATTTGGATGGTCAGACATCCCAGAACAATGCTTTTCCTAACAGATATGGAGAAGACACAGGGGAACAGTTGATGGACCCAGAACTTCAGGAGCTATTCAATGAACTGAGTAATATTTCTGTGCCCCCCATGAGTGACCTTGAATTAGAAAATATGATAAATGCCACCATCAAGCAAGATGAACCATTTAACATTGACCTTGGTCAGCAGATCCAGAGAGGGCCACCAACCCAATCATCTTCCCTGCAGATGGATAAAATGGTGATCAAGCAAGAGTATTCACCAGGGTTAAACCAAGCTTCAGTGGGATCACCTCAGATGAGGCCTCCTTCTACAGACTCAGCTTTCACCATGTCTGGTGCTGCTATGTCCACCTCATCTCCAGTTCCTTCAGTACCTCAGACTCAGACTCCTCCTTCTCAAGGGACTTCAGTCCCCCCTCGGCCATTGGCCAACTGGCAAGAAGTTTCTCATGCCCAGCAATTGAAACAAATAGCAGCGAACAGACAACAGCATGCTCTGATTCAGCAGTGCCAGCAAAGCCAATCAGCAGCACCCTGGCCTGCTTTGTCATCTACAGAGCCATCTTCTGGATCATTTGTCCAGGAGAAGATGTCTAGCCCATCCTTCCACCAGCAACAACAGTTCAGTCCACAGAGTTCTGCAATGTCTGGGATCCCAGTCAATGGGACTCCATCAAAAGGAATGAGCAGTTATACCTACCGGCCAAACTCCATGCCCCAGGGAAGCTCTGTCAACATCGTAATGCCACGAAAGCCTCAAGACATCCCCAGAAGTTATGTAAGCAACAGTCAGGTGTCACTGGAGGAACCTCAGAACAGTATCAAGCCTTTGTTTCATTTCAGCTCAGAACAAGCCAACAAGCAGATGTCTTCTGCTTTGGGACCCCCAAATAAGCCTTCCCTTCTCCACTATGCACAGCAGCCACCCCAGCAGCTGTCTAACTCAGCAGTTCAGCCACAAACTTCACAACAGCAGCAGCACCATCCTGCCCAACCTCTCCAAACCCAGCATCTCCAAAGGCCTCCCAATGTACCCTTAGCTCTACAGCAAAAGATCATGCTCCAGAAAATGCTACAAAACCAGAGTGGTTCGGGACTGCAGTATCTGGGCCCACAGAATCAGCTGGTAAGATTTTCTCCTATATCTCATCATGCAGTTCCTATTTGGGGTAAGCACAGACAACTTTTTAAATGTAGAATATTTTCATGATGCATTACATTACTTGGGAAGCCGTGTAGTCTGACTTGCTTCCTTTCAGATTCTGAACAATAAGAATGGTTGAGAAAAGAGTTGGGGGGGGGGGGTTTAAAACATTTGGGAGTTTTGCAGCCCCAAATTCAGCAGTGCTCTTTTGAAGCAATAAGAAGCAAAAAAAGTCATGTGACACCTCCACTTTGCAAATTTAAGCAGGGAGGCAAATAAGTTGCCATCTACCTTAGAAGAGCATCATATGGTGACACCTCCCAGGTTGGTGTTAGCTGGTGGAAACATGATTTGGATTTTAGAAGCCATGGAATGATTGCTACTAGTTATGTTAACTAGTTATGTTAACATACTAGTACTATGTTAAAAAATCAAATATTGGGGTCTTCTCTTTTGCTTCATTTAAAAAAAAAATGTTGTGAGTGAGCTAACCATATAAACAGCTTGGACTGAAATCTATCTAGTCTTGCTTTCTCTGAGGTGGAAGAATCAGTTTTGCTCTTTACACTGGAGTCATCAATACTTTGAAATAAAGTTAATCCTTCTAAATGGGATAAGCATGCTTTACGTAGCCGGGGCAACACTGACATAATCTGGATTGAAAATTCCAGTGGGAGGAGCCATCATGCAAAGTGGGTGTGGCAGTATCAAATGGGGTGGAGTCAGGATTTTTCTTTCTTTTTTTTTTTCCTAAGTGTTGAGAAAGGTTGGGGAAATGGCTACTTTAATCATGGGTTGCTGTCTAGCTGACTTTGGCTAATTTTGGAAAACTAAGCAGGTCAGACATGATTAGTGCCTGGGTGGGGAATCATCAGGAAATCCTGCATAAGTTAGATTGGGAAGTTGAAGAGATATTTGGAAAAAAGCCAACAGCAAACCAACATCATATTGTTGCTAAATAACTACACACTCATATAGTCAGTAACAGTTGAGTTCAACTCAATGATACTTTACTTTTGTGTATTTTAAGGAGCAGTACAATTCTTCTGTACTGTATGTCCCATTTTGATAGGTCAAGAAACTACACTGGTGACTTTTTATATTTGTGGCTCCCAAAACTTGCAGAACTGTTGGCCAGGAAGAGAGGAAGAAAGCAAATTCACAAAAATGTGCTTTGAGGGCTGCATAAGATTCTGGGATGACAGATTGTCCATTCCTGTTTTTAAATAAGGGACATATCATTTCCCAGGTCCACAAGTGTCTTTCCTTCTCTGCAGTGTGCTTTGACCACAATTTTCTTGCCTAATTCTCTCAAGACACATTGCTTAAAGTCTCACTGCACAACTAGCTAAACCATGATGCTCCTCCTCCATTAATCTGTCAACAGTAAGGAGAGGGAATAAGTCTATCATGATCCAGTTTGGTGTAGTGATTAAGGCATCAGGCTAGAAACCGGGAGACCGTGAGGCATGAAACCAGTGGGGTGACCTTGAGCCAGTCACTCTTTCTCAGCCCTAGGAAGGAGACAATGGCAAACCACTTCCAAAGTCTTGCCAAGAAAACTGCAGGGACAAGTCCAAGCAGTCTCCAGGAGTCAATAATGACTTAAGGCAACCCCCCCCAAAAAAAGTTTTCTTAATGATGACAGCAGCTATGCAAAGTGTCAGCAAGTATAGCAAGTTGCATTTATTTCTAATCTCTTCCCCCCCCCCTCCCCTCACCCGCCATCTTGCCGAGCTCACCGCCCACACGCCTCGCATCTCCCGGCATAATATCAG